TAATTATTGAAACTGTCCTACCAATTTGGTTTGAAACTGCCTCATTGGTATTTGTTTCTCAATAAAATTATGGAAAAACAATAAAAGAAAAGAAAAGAAAAGCACTTTGCTTCCTGGGCTGGGGGCCATTCAATCTTCTCCTTCATGAAAACTGACTGACAGTCCTGAGCTCAGTAATAAAGGCCCTTATAAATTTGAATCTGGCTTCTAATCAGATTCCTGTTCTGAGCTGACCCATAACAGGGACAAGACAGACACCAGCTCTGGCTCCTTAGAGTTCACTGAAATGAAATCATGCCCCCCTCACCAAGAAACTTAAGTCATGCTGACTGAAAACAAATGCCAAGTGTGAGGATTTCTATCAAACAAGAAGCTCAGTGCACAGAGAAACATTAACAAAAGGGACAAGCCCATGTGGGAGTCCAACTGACGCTTGATGAGCTGTAGTTATTCAAAGGGGGGAATATCCAGACAGGCTGGAAGCTAGAACAGCATGCTATTTTTCCAACAGAAGAGCTAAGTAGGCTGCAGAAGATAATGGAAAAAATGTAAAGGTATCTGATGAGATCTATCAAAGGGAATTGGGTTGGAGGGAGAAAGGGCAGACCTAAGGGGTTCATTCCAAAAACCTTGAGCTGTACAACTTAATCCTTTTCCTAAGCAGTGGTAAGCTGGACAGCATGAGGTATGAAATTATTATTTAGAAATATTCTAAATTATTATTTAGAAATCACCATTAGAATGGGCTCAGCAAGAGACACTCCTGAAATTTGACAAATAATCCAAAAGGCAGTTGATGTTGGGGTGGGAGAGCCTGGAGGAGATAAACAGATATGGAGGAAATGGAATGATCAAAACGTGATTATCCAGGTTCCTGGGAGACAACAGAAAAAGAGAAAGCAAGCACACTGGCTTCTGTGTACCGACTGCTTCTAGGGTGCTAAATGAGGTAGAAAAAAGAAATAAAAGAGACAGAAAGGAGACAAGGAAAGTTATCACTGGAAACTGTACTTTAAAAAAAAAACTCTGGAAATTTCAGGAGCCACTGGAAATTACCCAAGGCCGTTGACATCAGCATCCCATTCTGGCTTCTTTCCAGATCCATCACATCGCAAATTCTTCACAATATTGTAAGTGCATAAATTGGTTTAACTGAAAAAGTAAAATAGCACAAACCTGATCCAAAGATAAAGAAACAGGTTGAGAGAATTCAAAGAATGCTTAATTATGCTTCTTTTTAAAAAATCTAGACTTATACCCAAAGAATAGGCCAATACTTTCTAGGAGTGGATCACCTTTTCCTGAGGTTTCCACCTCTATAACTATCCCAGTACCAGGCAATAAGCAATCCCCCCTCCACTAGGGGGCTGCTCTCTAACTCTTTGAGTGTGTACCTCTCACAGAGGAGACAGCTCAGCAGCATGGAACCTGCTAGGCAAGGGTCCGAACCTGCCTGGTGACACTGAACACTTAACCATCAAAATTCTTGTAAGTATCTTCATGTAAGTATTATTTCCCTTTTATAAGCAATTCCCTCATACTCCACAAAGGTAAAGTAACTTGGGTAAAGAATTACAGTGCACAAATGGCAGAGCTAGGGTTGAGATTCAGGTCAGTTCTATCCTCTTTTAAATTCACCACAGTAACTTGTGAAAACTAATTTCTTCCTTGTCTACCCCTTTTTCTGAATTCAGTTCCCAAAACAGCTAGGCAAACTCATTACATATACCCACATTTTATAGTGTGAGTTTTCGCTAAGAAGATGATTGAACACCATAGAAGGCCATTGAACACCTTCTTGGTGCCAAACAGCCAAGGAATTGAGGAGGGGCTTGCATTCCTCTGCGAGCGCTGTTACAGTCCTCTGCTGTCCCACTATGCTAGAACTTTCCGAGCCCATGTAGTTGCGGACTCGCCTCACTTCACCATTCTGCATTACAAACAAATGCTTTCCTTCTCCTTTTGGGTCAACATTACAAAATTCCCTTCTCAATTTAAACCACCGTTGGGCTTTCAATGTTGAGAAATTGTAATAATATCATTAAGTAACTTTGTTGATGTGATAAAACGCAGTTTTATTTGGAAAGAAATGGAATCTTCCCCTTTTTATTTCCTCTTGAGGGTTTCATTTCTACATTCAGTATGACCTTGGGATTTAAGGCTTCATATAATCATTTTCATAGTTATCTATTTATTATATTCTCTTTCATTGAACTAGAAAACAATGGTTTCAAAATTTAAGTAGGCTCTGATAACATCACTAAGTATTGAGAATGGGTCATGTACTTTGGTTATATTTTCCTTCTTTTTGACAAATATTTTGTTGCAATCCTTAGCAAGAAGATAAAATGCTTTAACTTCTTCTTAACAGGAATGTGTACATACACATTTAATTGAAGATGATGTGCTCCTGGGTGGCATCACTATGTTTTGGATGTAGCTACACTATCTTGTTCCTCCATCCTGTGTCCCCCAACTTCAGTTAACAGCATAGCTCTGCGAGGTGTCTGGTCCCAGCATGGGCAGCCCATTTCCAACTCATTCAAGATGAAATTGAAGTCACAAATCTGGTGCCATTTACATATGAGTCTTTCAGTGAAGTCTGCCTGACCCAAAGTTGGCCGTGTCATAC